CCTCTGATTATATGTCCAAGATATTCTAGTTTACGCCTCTTAATAATATTTTATAGAGTTCGTTGATGTCCCATTCTTCGAAGAACTTCTTCGTTTCTGGTTCTGCTAGTCCATGGAATTTTTAGTATCCTTCGATAAAACCACATCTCAAATGCCTCGATTCTATTCATGATATCGGCGTTTAAAGTCCAAGTTTCACATCCATATAAAAGTACAGACCACACGTAACATCTTGTAAACTTTTCACGGATTTCCAAATTTAATGAGTTATTGGATAATAGAGGCTTGAATTTTTGAAATGAGTTTCTTGCCTGTTCAATTCTACATCGAATTTCGAAGGATGGATCTAGATTTTGGGTAATCCAACATCCAAGGTATTTGAATCTCTGAACTCTCTGCAGCGGTTGTTGGTTTAATATCAGTTGGGTTGCGCCGATATCCACTTTACTGGTCACCATGTATTTAGTTTTATCGATATTTATCGACAGTCCCCAATTTGTGCATTCCATGTCAACTCTATTGATTAGCTTATGCAGATCGTCGATGTTTTCAGCTAGAATCACAGTATTATCGGCGTACCGTATATTTTTAATTATTTCTCCTCCTATGATAATTCCTTTTTGATCTTTTAAAGCTTCCCTAAATAGATTCTCAGAATACACTTCTCGGAAGAAAAATACTAAGTAAAAAAACATTTAGAGCCGTTGAACGACGTTGTCGAGAAACTGGGAATGTGAGACCAAATAAAATAAATTCTGGTAGACCAAGAACTACAAGAACAAAAATTAATAAAGAAAATAATATTTTAAATTTACTTGATCAAGATCCAACAGTTAGCGTACGAAATATAGCAAGACAAACAAATACTTCTTCTTCAAGTACTTGGCGGATACTGAAAGAACAGCAATTACATCATTATCTCTACAGACAAGTCCAAGACCAAGAGCTCTTGCCAGATGATCTACCGGTCAGAGTGGATTTTTGTGAAACATTGCAACAAAGAAAGCCCACAATCCAAATTTTTTAAAATGCATTTTTTTTACGGACAAGGCCACCTTTACGCGACAAGGTATGTTTAACTCCCATAATGCACACTACTGGTGTGATGAGAATCCACGAGTCAAAAGGGTATCACATTACCAACACTCATTTAAAGGTTATATTTGGGCAGCAACTTTGGGTAACAAATTAATAGGTTACAATCTTCTACTAAACGAGCGGAGATCTTTATTTTTTATGCACGATGGAGCTCCACCACACTTTGATAGAAGGTGTCGTAATTGGTTGAGTAATCATTTTCCGAATCGATGGATTGGTAGAGGTGCAGAAGCTCTGATTCATTGGCCCCTCGGTCATGCGATTTTAATCCTTTGGACTACGCAGTTTGGTCGTATATAAAGGAAAAAGTCTATGCTACAGAGGTAAATTCACGCCAAGAATTTTAAGAAAGAATTCAACGTCAATTTAATGACATCATATCTGATCTCCTACCGTTAAGAAGGTTAATGGAATCTTTAGAAAAAAGAATAGACTTGTGTATTCGCGAAAAACGGAGGGCATTTTGAATACTTACTGTAATTGAATTTTATTTTATGTTCTTAGTCATTAATTTCATTTTCTTCTTGTGAGCTTTGTTTAATTACTAACTATTTTATACCAATATCAATTATTACTTCATAATTTTCAAACCAAAATATTCCGAAAACGGTACACAGTATCGAGTTTTACCAAGAGTACCTTTTTCGTGTAAAATTGAATGATGTTTAAGTTTACTTGAATTTTGATTAATAATTATACTCTTAAAAAAGTTATATTGACTAATATTTAGGACGATCCGTGTAACTAGCGCCCTCTATGAGAATCAGATATAAAAACAAATTCATGGGATGTATCAGCTTCTAAAACATATTCGTATAAAATTTCATTACAATTTTGCGAGTAGTTTCGGCAAAATCGTAAAAAATGCGTATTTTTTTTCTTCAACGCCCTGTATCTTGAAAACGGATGGCGTTACAAAAATTTTTTATAAAGCAAACCCCAATTATTTTTCAGTTTTTTACCTACCCTAGAGACGGGGTTACCTTTTTTAAAACACCCTGTATATTAACAACTAAAATATATTTTTTAAATAAATACTACCCAAAATTTGATGGGTTTAATATACACTTTCACTATTTAGAATAATTCTTCTTTTTTTTTTCAAAGAAAGATGTCTGCAATAGTAGTATAGTTGAGATATTAATACAGAGAAGTAGGAATTGTTGTGTTGTAGGTTTCCGACAATGAATCTGTCAAAATATGACCCAGCTAAGCGAATGGAGTATATTTGCAGTTTCATACTGTATAGTGTATACTGCGGCTTCAAAATAGTTTAAAATAGTAATTAATTTGCCAACAATAGTACATTGTTTACCGGGTAGGAAAAGCTTAACATTCCTGGACGACTGTGAAGATTGCTAAGTCGAGGCGCAAGCCGAGACTTAGCAACACAGAGTCCAGGAATGTGGCTTTTCCTACGAGGTAAACATACTATTTTTCCGCAAATCGTTTAAAATTCGACAGATATTGATTGATTTAAAAAAAAACGCGATAATTTTATTCCCAAATAAATGGTGCTTTGAAATTCCTAATAAAATTACTTGGGTTACTATGGAAACGTATTGAGGTTGAATTGTCAAACTTGACGCTTATAAATTTAATTGCTGGTGTTCTCGAAAGTAAAATGATAAGTGATGATGAAATTTCCATTCCTGGGACTCCTCCAGAGCTGGTTGAGGCAGTGAATACTGCTTCATTAGAATTATTGCCAAAGAAATCAAGAGAAAAGTACGAAAATGCATACAGACGTTTTATGGATTATCGCATGAGTAAAAATACGAGTTCTTTCTCAGAAAATGTTGTAATGGCATACTTCCTAGACCTTTGTTTAAAGATGAAATCTTCAACATTATGGGCCAATTATTCAATGCTGAAGTCAACCCTTGCACTTAAACACAATGTAGATATATCTACATACTCAAAACTTCGTTCTTTATTGAAACGGCAAGCTCAAGGTTATAGGGCAAAGAAATCTAAGATTTTAACGAAGGAAGAAATTGAAAAATTTATCCAGGAAGCTCCAGATAAAGAAAATTTAATGATTAAGGTAATTTACAAGGTTTTAATTTCTATTTAGATTATAGCTTTATTTATTTTTTAGGTGGCTGTAATATTTGGTATTTCTGGGGCCTGTAGAATGGATGAGTTAGTCCGAATGACTGTACACGATAAAGAAGACTTAGAATCTAAGCTTTTAATCAGCATACCTGATTCGAAAACCAACAAACCAAGATCATTTGTAATTAATCAGATCTACTTGAATGTTTATCGAAAGTATGTTTCGTTAAGACCAGAAAATATGAACAGTGACCGATTTTTCTTTAAATATCAAAGCGGAAAGGGTTGTAGACAAGTGGTAGGAATTCATCAATTTAGAAAAATGCCCAAAATAATTGCTACTTATTTGAACTTGGTAAATCCGACAGAATATACTGGTCACTGCTTTCGTCGGTCTTCTGCAACAATATTGGTTGACTCTGGTGCCGACATAACTAGTTTAAAGAGGCATGGCGGATGGAAGTCATCAAACGTTGCTGAAGGATATATCGAAGAATCGCTTAACAATAAGGTTGAGGTGGCAAATAAAATTTTCACAGTACAAAATATTCAACAAAATGACACTTCCACCCTGCATGTTGTCCAAAATGTTTCTCATAGTTCTAAGAGTGTTCCTCCAATGTTCAATAATTGTACTAACTGTCAAATTACTGTAAATATAATAAATTGATCTTAAAAATGTATTCAGCAATGACTTGATGTTTTCAAAATATAAATTAATTCCTTATAAGCAATGTGTTTTCTATCATTTATGTAGAACACTAACAACTGTACGGAAATATCATTTCCTTACAGTAAGGAAATGACATTTCCTTACAGTAAGGAAGTCCTGACTTTTTCTTCAAGAAATTTTGACAGGAATGTCAAAATTTCCTGGCGATTTGCGGAAAAAATTTGTATTGTCAATAAAGTGTTCCTCGTAGCTAGGTTTTTTTAATATTATTACGTAAAAGTAGAATTAAAATTCTTATTCGAGAATTTATTTTTGTCAAAAAACATACATTCATGTGGTAAAGGGTTACCAAAATAGCAGAAAATAGAATAATTAGAATTGCACGATATAAGTCACCGATCATAAGAAGGATACGTCAATCTAAAAAGAGATAATTCGACGATATTCCTACATAATAACAGGAAATGTTTTAGAAAAACTTACAATATATCTAGATAGAAGTAGAAGAAGAAGAAAATTAATTGCAACTATAAATTAATCAAATATTGTTAATAATAAATATAATATACTATATTTTATTTTTTCTTTTTAAATTTTTTACGAAATTTTAATATATATACCTCTGTAGAGTTTCTTCTAACCGTAAAATAATTCAAACGTGTGGCGCCCATTCTCGAAACATCCTGTAAACTAAAAAAGAATCGCATCGCCACTACTTTATCGAACTGGTAGCGCGCCAATAAAATGATCCTCACGCACTGAGCCACACATATATAGGGCCGTCTTATGCTTTGAAACTCTAGTGCATGTTAAACACACATCTTACAAAGCCCAGAGAAGGTGCGCGGCTAGTCACCGGCGAAACACACATTTTCAAAATCCCCAATGACTGAAGAATCCTAGAGTGACAAATTTTAAACGAATTGTGATGCCCTTGTGATCTAATTTACGAAATTTCAAAAAGTCGAATGTGATTATTGTACTAAAGGCCCTTTTGGAAATTTTCAGTATTTTTTTAGAAGAAATGAGTGATACAAAAGTGAAATTGAAAGATGTGATATCGCGTTTTGGTTTTTGAACTCTTTTTCGAATTGTGATCAATTTTAAATCCGGACTTTTGTGATAAATTTCGACTTCTTTGTGATATATATCGACTGACTATTTTAACAAAATGTTACTAAACACAATTAAAATTAAATCGAACACTCTAGCCAATTTTAGAAAAATGTTCAACACAAGAACTATTTTAACATACTTCATTCTAGTGTTACTGGTACCATTCTCGATAACGGAAAAACACAATAGGCCAAATAGTATACAAAAACGGCGGAGTCCAGAACCTGACGAGCCAAGGCACACTTCGGGCTGCCATAGTTGTAGAATGAGAGAAGAGATCAAACAGAGAAACCTGATGGTCATCAAAGACGAAATCCTCAGGCGGATAGGTTTCGAGGAAGCGCCCAATATTACGGGAAAGGCTCTTCCTCAGGTTCCTTCCGAGTATCTCATGAGGATAGAGGAAGAAAACGGCGGTATGCAGAGTGACCAGCCTCAATTTCGGAGCGGCTACACCGTGGTCGAAGAGGAAGATGACTATCATGTGAGGACGCAGCAGATCATAGCTTATGCACAACCATGTAAGTTTTTCACCCTTCAACACTATAGTTATATCATATTTATTAAGGAAAACAATCTCAAATTAACCTATTTAACTAAAAATAACACTTTAATTCGGTTTAACACTTTATTCCTTTTCAAGTGATCTTCAACTTTGAACAAAAACTATAACATCTAAACTATGCTAGGTATAAGTACTATTCAGTACTATCATTTTACCTACAAATATAATTCAGATACTTACAGATTGACTTTCTTGGGATAGTAGTAATTTTACCAATTTGTTTTTAATATTTTGTATCACATATTACCAAAACCATAAATTCAGACTGTGTCCAACTAACTGATAAGTGCGCTAAATTAGTTAAAAAATATATAGTTACCTATTTGTTGTCCTTAACCTCCCGTAAGTTCACAGCTCGAGATATATTAATAACCTATATTTACCAATTAATTTTAGAAACATGTTTGTCATTTTTGCATCAGTTATTTTTTGCAACTATCTAGAGATTATATTATTTGTATAAGAAAAACCTTAGAACAATTGCTAAGACCAATATTATGACAAGTTTTCAGGAAACATTTTCACTTAAAAAATTCACTGATGTAATGTGATTAGAATGGTAGCATTAGAAATAAAATCAGACAAAAATTGATTGAAATGATCGGTTTTGATACGTACATCTAATGTATATATTAAACATTTTTTATAGAATTGTTTATATTCGTTTACCAGGATATATCTTAATAAATCTTTAAAAATCATTAATTTTTGTTTTAACAATACAATCAAAAGTATAAAACTTTAAAATAGGTGATGAAAAGTGCTTCGATATTTATTCAATATTGATGACAAATGGCAATTTTTAATAGAACAAATTGTGGTTTATCAAATATTAAATAAAAATTTTATTTGTTATATATTTTAATGGCAATTAAAATGTGTAAACCACTATGTTTTTACCTCACGACATCGATTTACCAGCAATAAAATTATTTGTCAAATAAATTAAAAAATGTACCTTTTCTATTCAGGTGCATATTTACGATAGCTGAATAATTGGCCAAAACATCTAGTTTATATCCAGATTTTTTAAAAATTTTCAGATTTTTAAAAATTTTCACCTATTTTTCGCATGAAATTTTTTGTTTCAATTCTTAATCTTGTAGTTTATGTTTGTGGTTTTCTGTAAATATTGTTTCAACTTTATTGAAAAGTTTTTTGATTTTCATATTTATTCCCCCACTTAATATTAATAGTGTCATATAAATAATGTTATCTATACCTTTTAAGTAGTTTAATATTGTTGAAATACTTTTGGTCATGATGATTTTGGACTTCAGCTGTGATTGCAATTAATATTTATTCTTCCTTGAGGTATGGGCAATGAAGCAGGATATATTTTACCGTCAGTAGAATGAAGAAAATTGGCGTTAGCTCTTTTTTATTTTAATATTTGTGTTACTGCTGTAATTCCAATTTTCAAGCAGTTAATAGTAGCTGTGTTCTCATTGCTCGAATGGTTATTAAAAAATGTGTTTTTGTCTAGTTTGAGCCTATTTGACAGTTGATCTATATTTAGTTTCCGCAGATTTATTGTACAGCGGTACTCAAATAAAAGCTGTTTTATTTCCTAAAGATTGGATTGTTTCGAGTTCGATTTTATTTCTTGTACAGCTTGTATATTGCATTAATTTCAAGCAAGTATTTACTGAACCTGTAATCCGAATGCTTGCATTTTAACTTCTAATAGTTGTGAAGAAGAAATCATCATCATCTTGGTGCTACAGCCCTTAGAGGGCCTCGACCTTCTCAATCTTTCTACGCCATTCTGTTCTGTCCCTTGCTTGCATTTTCCAGTTGCCGACCCGATCTTCTCCGCATCTTGTGTTACCCCATCCATACACCTTAGCTTTGGTCTACCCCGTCTTCTCATTCCCACGGGTTACGCTGTTAGAATCTTTTTTATCATGTTCGATTTATGGGCCCGGGCTACATGTCCTGCCCACTGCAGGCCTTATCTTAAGTCTACTGAAATTTCTAAGTATTATGTAATACGAAAAGCTTCTTTACAATAGTAACTGGTGGTATATCAATTGTGAGTTTTAGAGGGATGGCTAAAGATAAAAGATCTTCTTCTACTTCTTCTACCTATTTATAAGCAATTCTGCTTGTTTATTAATACTTCTATGGAAGTTTGTCTCTCCATCTTTTGCGCGGTCGTCCGATACTTCTACGGATTGGTGACTTATTTTTTGATATTTTGACGACACGGGTCTCCCCCATTCTGCTTATGTGATTATTTTATTCTTTTTTTTTCGATTTTGTGCCCATTCATTTATATACTGTACGTTACATTTTCTTCTAATGACTTCAATGCTCTTTCTATTTCTTTTTCTCTTCTATTAGCGTATTTTCTGTAATTCGTCTCAGTACTTTTATCTGTGCCATTTCCAGTAGCCTTTGTATGTGGCTACGCAGGGTCTTGTCTCTGAGGCATACATTTCTGATGAAATCATTGGTCTTACACTGGCTTTATAAATTCTTGATTTCATATCAGTGTTAAGGTGTCTGTTTTGCCATATAGTCTTATTAAGGCATCCTGCCAGTCTATTTGCTTTTGTACTTGATCTCTCACTTCTTTGTCCAGGTCTCTTCATAGCTAGACAGTGTAATTCCAAGATATTATATTTAGATTACTTGTTTAATACTGATGCCGTCAATTTCTATTTTACATCTGTAAATCTGTGGACCATATTTGCAGGCTATCTTTATCTTGGGCTATTAATATTGCATCGTCTGCCTAACAGAGTATTCTCATTTCTTTGTTTCCCATTCTGTATCCTGTTCCTTTGTTAACGCTTTTGATGATTTCATAAATAATTAAATTAAAGAGCATGGGCTCAATAAGTCCCCTAGTGTTATTCTGCTGCCTATCCATGATCAAATTGAAGAGCATTGGCCACAATGAACCTCCTTGTCTTATTCCGCTGCTATTTCTATAGGTTCTGTAAGTTGCCTTCTATTCTGACTTCCATTTTTTTTATTCTGGTAGATGTTTTCGGTAGTTTTTATAATATTTAGGGAAACTTCTCGATTATAGAGAAGATGGATTACATCTTTGAGTCTTACTCTGTTAAACGCTTTTTTTTAGTCAATCAGACACAGAAATGGTATGATTGACTGGTTTATTATACTCTACTAGTGATTTCTTAGTAATTTGCTTTATAACGAATATTGCATCTGTATACGATCTTCCATTATAAAACCTTGTTGCTCATCTGCTAAACTTATTATCTGATTTATTAGTACTTGCAAAATTTTAGTTGTAAGTTTTAGGGTAGTATTTAACAAGTTTGTTCCTCTGTAGTTTTCTGGCTGTTTTAGATAAAAGATGGCTTGTAAGTAATTTATGTATCAATTTAGACCGTCGGATTTCGATTCGAAGCTCAAACACAAATTTATCCCTTATGCCGTTTTGTGTACTGAAAATTTTATATAAGATAAGCAAAAAGAAAAGAAAATCTAGAGTTCAACCGGGTTTGTTTTTTTTTAATCAAATTTCCCTTATTTCCCGCAAATTTTTTGAGATAAAATTTTTCGTTTTCACGCCATGTCGCTATGGCTTTTTTGCAGGATCCTCATCGTGAAAACTAACAAATGTTCACGTGTCATACAGGAAAAAATCACGGACGCTGGCCTAATAGCATTATATGCTTAGATCATAAATAATAATCTTAGGGCACCAGTAGCCCTTATACTAATTTTTTTAAGAACAGAATTACATCTTCCGGTATTCTCAAAATCATATGGGATAAAATCGTGGATAAACTTTTTTTGAAATCCGACGGCCTAATATAATTTTAGCGAATAGGTGCTTAATTCTTATAAAGTTTGTAGTTGATTTGGATTAAATTGCTAGCTAGTCAGTGAACGGATTTTACAATGGGAGTTTGCAGTTATTTTTAGTGCTAGATGGAGTTAATGCATGACAAAATTGTTAAACTGTATTCTTTCCATAAGAAGTCTATTTTTTTCCTTTTTGGAACATGAAAACCCAGAATAGCTATCTTGAAAGATTGAAAAGCTTATCGCTAATTAAAACTCAATATCAGTATCAATATAGAGAGCCTCTGTACCAGTCGCTCTAATGAATCCTGGTAGGATGAAATACGTATAAACGAATATACAAAGGCACTATTCGTGAAATCAAACCTTAACTGTCTTTTCTTTTATTCCTGCTTACTCATTATGAGTACAAGAAACCAGTTCACCAAAGATGTTTGCTTAGATGAGGAGATGTGTTGTGAAATGCAATTTTTAGATTCCCCATGTCTTCTTTTTATCCTTTTCATCATCTGTTTTGCCTTGTAATTTATAGAAGGCACAGATTAATGCAAAAATCTAAAGTTTGGTTTTATCAACCAAGAAATGTTCGCAGATCTACTTTGTAGTCCAATATTGATATATTTTGATATATTTGTTAACATTGTAATATGTATGTTTGATCAATTTTAACTACATTTCAAGTGTGTTTTTGTATTACTCTAAATTAATTGTACCTCGATAGAGCAGATAATTTTCGTGTTCTTTTATCTTCTTCTTTACGATGTTCATAAAGTCTTTGATTATAAAACTATTGGTCAAAGTAACTGTTCTTAAGGTCACTCGCATAGCTCTTACCAGTTTTTGAACCATAATATTTGAGTTTACTGTATTTTGTCTTGCAATTGTTTTTATCTACCGCGTTCAGTGTTTTATGTATTAGATCAAGCACACTTGCTCATATTTTACTATTGTTGAATTACTTACTGTTTTTGATTTTTTTCAGTCTATTTAATTCGCTTTCATACGATTATGTCGAACTTCTGATACCTGCTTCTGTATTATTTAGCTATTAATTTTCTTAAGATATCAACGACACTTTTTAAATTATCTTATGATGTTTAAAAATTGACTAAAACTGACTTTAAAATTGAAATTTATTAGACATTTCATCTACTTTTTTTTTAATCGATGATTTGAATTGTCAATGTATCTTTAATCAACAATAATTAACACTAAAACATTTCGGTTATTGCAAATGTTGCTGGACAGAAAAAATAAATATGTGTTATTGTAACTGTAGAATCTGTAGGAGAAAATTTTAATATTCTTCTGGGAATTGAAGTTGCTAAAACTATTAGGAAGTAAAGCAGCTTTGTTAAATTTCAGTTATTTTTTCCATATAACCAGTATACATCTGTTATTTAGAGAAATGATCTTTATGACCACCGACCACTTGCATGCAATGTATTACATTACAGGATTGTCATTCGTTTCCTACGTTGGTTGAAACCATATACCAGAACTTAAACTTAAAAATAGCAGTAATAAAAAGCTACCTAAATAAAATTTTCCCAAACCACCAGTTACATGATAGGAAACCATTTCCTTAGTCACTTCGTAGTTTGGATATCAAAAAAAATATTTTTATGTTTGGTGTCTGAATAAATGACTCGAATGTATCGAGTTTGCTTTGGATGTTTCTTTCCAAGATAGCATGCTCTTGGTCGAATTAAGATTTTATAGATTCTCATCGTTGTATTTCGGTGGACATTTTTAGACCAAAATATATGGGAGAGGACCAAATAAGCTCTGTTTGCTGCGTTATTCTCTTCCGTATTTCTCTATCTTCTGATCCGTCGGCATATATTTCTACTCCCAAGAATGTAAAATTTCAACCGTTTGAATGCATCTCATGTATAGTTGTGGACTATATTCTTCTCGTCTGTATTATTATTTTTGTTTTTTCTGTGTTAATTTCCAGACTTAGCATTTTTGTTTGCGTTTTTAACTCATATGTTTCCTGTGCTTCTGTTGATGTTCTACTCATAATATTGATATCATCGTCATAAGCGGACAGTTGAACCGTTCGGTTGTCAGTAGGTTTCCTAGTCTAGTTTGCATTGGCATAACCGCATACTCCAGTGCCAGTTTAAACAAGGTTAGAGCCAGCCCATCTCTCTTCTTTAATCCCTGCGAAATTTTGAAAAAGTCTGTTCGGTGGTT